CCCGCCCCCCGCCATGGCACCTGCGGGGAGCGCGGAACGGGCCGTCAGCGCGGTCGCCCCGCGCGCAGCTGCGCCAAGGGACCGCCTGGCCCCACAACCTCTTCAGTTAATCACCCTCCACCCGCGGGCTGCTGTTGCTGGAAACGCCAGAGGGACCGCACTGACCACGCTCGCAGCGGCTGCGTTTCTTTGCCCCCAGCTCTGTTTAAGACCTGAGGGAGACACCCCAATATTGCGTGACCAGTAATCACTTAAGTAGATTTTCTTGTGCAGTCCCCTTCTGCTTTAAAAAAAAAAAAAAGGTAAAATTTACTTCAGTAAATATATATATATAGGATATATAATATACATAATATATAGAATTTTATTGCAAACTTATATTACTGTTTGTGCCTTTTCCTTTTAGCTAGTGCTCTTCAGTCAGACCATGGTTTCTTTTATACCATTTTATTTTCTCTTTCTCAATCTAAAGTGTGTAATTTTGTTCTCAGACAAGGCAAGGCAGAAACTATTTGGTGCTTAACCATGAAAAATCAGGATCTTCCTAGGAGCAGGCAGGGAGCCTCAGCACAGATTTGAACGTGGAAGTGGATGGACCAGGACCTCTAAAACACCCAAGAATCAACATTAGAGACCACACTAAGCCACAAAGGGAACAACCTCCTCGCTTTCACCAGTCACCTATGGCAGTCCTACCTGCGAACTGGTGAGTTTGACTCTCAAATGGGTCATGTATAATATGAAGCAATGTTTGTGTTTGCTTAAGTTTACACTTTCAATTTCTATTTAGCCTCTGATCTCAATATTTACAATCAAAGAGCTTCCCTGGCCAACAACACCTATAAAGCAAAGTTTTCCATTACTGCACCTGCAGGTGGGTCCTCCGTGAAATAATGAAAACACCGTGAAACTTGTGTAACTGGAGTCAAGGTCAGCTTTCTAGGTTGACTTTGAAGCCAGGTAAAGGTTCAGCGCCTGCCTGATTTTGGCAGTTTAAAGCAACTTTTTTACTGCTCCATGACCCAGTTCCATTCCAAAAAAAGAAGATTCCTGCCTGGACAACTGGGGGATGCCGCTACCTGTGACTGATAGGCGGAAAATAACACTGGCCTAATGGTTCTGCCATTGGGGATGACCTACCTGTGGCCTAATGCATTTGTGCGGGGGGCAGGAGGGCACCTCCGTCCCAGTTTCTCCAAGGCAGCAGCGGGCAGGGAGCACCAACCATCGGCGGCCGCGTTGGGGTTCGGGGAGGAGAGGAAAGGAGGCTGCACGGGAAAAGGCCCCTAGCGCAGGCCGCCGAGCTCGCTGCGCAGGAAGGCCAGGCCCTTCGCCAGCTGCCTCTCCTTGTCCTCGGGCCGCTCCAGCGCCTGCTGCCTCCGGAACTCGCG